TCAAAAATCTTTTGATCACACCAGCTCCTCTAGAGCCAATAAAATCTCATTATTCTAAGCATTACGGGTCATTCATCAAAAAATTGCTTTGCTTTCAAATATAAGATGCAATGTTTAATCAAAACTGGCCTGTTGAGTCTTAGGAATAAAGGAGAGCCCAAAGTTGTTGATAGGTCATTGCCTAATCATAATGGCTGAAGAACTTATCCATAACAGTACTATGATCTTGAAGCTGAAGTATAGGACTAGGTAGTAGATTTTAGGGTTTTTTTCTTTGTTAAGATTGTTTTTGGATATTTTTTTCAGAACAACTTTTAATTTTTAATTAAAAACTTTTTTCTCTTTCTTTCTTATTATTTGATAGCACTCAATGCATGCATCTATTTGTTCATATCTAATATTTTTTTTCTTTTTGTATAAATTTGTAGCTAGACATTATTCTAATTCTTAATTATGGTAGTAAAGATTCAAGAGCCTAATCGACAAGGTAATGCCTTACCATTTATAGAGCCAAAACAACATAGCTAAATTGAAAAATTAATAAAGCTTAAGATGAAATGAGAGGAGATCTGGTCTAAATAATGCAAATGCTAAAAAATTTAAAATAGTGAGAAAAAAGTGGAGGAAGCATGCATACAAGCATCTCAAGGGGCACAATCATAGCAAACACCACCTTTAGAGCATATTCTTGTCTCAAAATACCTTTAACAACTACACAAAAATAGTTTTAAAGACACACTGCTCCTGTTTTAGGTGAAGAGATCCAATTTCAGTTCTAGTCCTTGATGATCTTGAAAAGCTAAAAAAAATTGAGGGAAAGTTTATTTGAAGCACAAAAAATTCAAGTTTCCAAAAAAAAGATGGATCTCATAGAGGAGAGGTTTTGAGGTATTGAAAGAATAGATTTTTATGGATCTATCGTTGCATCGAAGCTTTGCTTTATGCTAGATGTGATTGTTTCGCCCAAGTTTAAGGTCCTAAAATTTAAGAAATATGATGGGATGAAATGCTAATGACTTATGTCACTATGTATTGTATAAAGATGATTGCCCATGCCCTCGATGATAAGTTCTTGATTCATGTATTCTAAGACAGTCTTACAAGGTCCGTTACTAAGTGGTATGCTTAGTTGGACAAAACTCCCTTCACTTTGTGAAAAGAATTGGTTAGCGCATTTGTAACCCAATACTAGCACATCTTAGAGTTGACTCCAAATCAGTTGTCTCTACAAAGCATTGAGAAAAAAGATATTGAGAGCTTTAGAGAATATGCTCAAAAGTGCAAAGATGCTACTGCCCAGGTTCAATCACCTTTAACAAAAAAAAAGATTATAGTTTGGTTTGTCAACACTCTTAAAACTCCATACTTTGAAATGATGATTAGAAATGCAACTACGAATTTTGTTGAGATGGTCAAATCTAGGGGGATAATAGAAAAAGCCATAAAAAATTAAAAGCTTAAAAGTGATGATATAGCTATTGAAATCAAAATCTAAATTTTTTTAAAAAATATTTTAAATTTTTACTAGAGACTATGCATGTTATCTAACAACTGTATAAGGGGTAGTTTTAAAATTTTATTATAATTTTTATATGTTGAATTATATGTTAAATTTTATATAGATAGAAAGCCCTTTTAGTTTTTAAATCTTCAAATGAATCTTGATTTGAAGTTGTATAGTTCAAGATATTATCAAATTAGTAAGAATAGTGCAAAATAAAATTTAGTTTGAGGCACCTTACTGCACTATTTATCCAAAATCATACTAAATGCAAAAGCAACTTGACTCCATCAATCATTGATCCTTATCAAAATGAATTGATCCATTATCCTACAATGGTCAAAATTTGAATGAAATTCAATACCCAATTGATCCATTGATATACCTAATCGATTCTTTCATCCCTGACAGCCTCCATTGGCTAGTTTTTAAAGAAAAACAATGGCTCATTTCTTCTCTAACTGAATCTTAATTAATCTAATTCATTTTTCTCCAAAGAGATCTTTCAACACCCATTAAGAAGAGAGCAACATGGGAGAAAGTTCATAAAGTTATATCTACAAAATTCTCAAAGAAAATTAAGAGCAACAAAGATTTTAAAGCTTAAATTCCATATTCTTTGTATTTGTTATATCCAAATCATTTAGTCTCTTATTTGTGTTTCAATTAAGCAAACACTCAACCTTAAAAGATATCTTTAATATTCAAAAATCAAAGCTTAATTGTAATCAAGAGGTGTGGTATCCTCTTGAATGATTTTGAGAGTTTTTGTAGAAATTCATTTGAGTAATTAAAGGTTGTTATCTTAGCCTATAATGATATGAATTAGAGGTTGATATCTTAGCTTAGAAAAATAGGGAGTGAGGGATTGGATTTTAGCCTTAAAAGGTAATTTTGTAAGAATTTTAAAAATTAGTTAATTGGGATTCTTGACTCATAAGAGAGAGAATATAAGTATCTTTGAAGAATGATTGAATTTCTATAAATATTTATGTTTGATCTCTCTACTCTACTCTTTTTTTTTTGTAATTATTTATTTGTTCTTTAATTTCATATATTTTTTTTATATTTTTAATTTTTGATTTTACATTTATTTGAAATTTATTTTTAAAAAATAATTTGTAAATAATCTAATTCAACCTCTTAAATTGTTATTTAAACTTAAGCTAACATAATCTTTTTAGCCTACTTTGGCAATTTTATCCTTTTGTTGACCTGATGAGGCAAAAGCCATTACGAGAGAGGTGCGCACCCGAGATTCTCGAATCTACACCTCTCATGTCGCTGATGCAAGTATCCACCTCGTCTCATGTGCTCTCAAGTGATTATTCGGGCCTGCCTTTCTCTCACTCCTTTTTCTATCTTGCTCTTTATTAATTTGAGTCACCTTCAACCTTTGTTTTTTTACTTATATTTCTTTTTTTCCTAGGTATCTGTCCTTGATCTTTGCTCAAACCATCATTGTGAGTCATTGAATTAAATAAAAATTTTTAAAATTCGAGTTAATTATATAAAAAAACCATTGAAAGTAGTTGAATTAATTCTTTTTATACTTAAAAGTTAGACTTTTATTAATATTATTTATTCAAACAAAATTACATTAAATTTAAAGCCAAATTTTAATATTTACAATTTTATTTTTTATTTTTAAATTACAAATTTTTTATAAAAAAAATTGACTTCCATGGCAATAAATGTGAAAGGTACGAGTTAGATATATGATCGTGAAACACATTGCTAAAAATAAAATCAAAGGCTAAAAGCACCACGGAAATTAGAGATTCAACTTTTGCGGCTATAGCAAGTTTTAAGTTGGCAAATTGGCACGCAAAATGCCTTTCAACTGTGATAGGAACGTTTGTGGGACAGTGTATTTCTTCTAGATTACTTTTGAAACATCATTATCATCTTGAAAATTAAATGGTCACCTCTTTTATAGGAAAAAAAAATCAAATTTGTTCTGCAATATAGTTATATAACCGACATAAAATTTTTTGAAAGGAAGAAATTATTTATGAAGTTCCTATTAATTTGTTCCAGTGAGAATTATTAATAAATTTTGAGGTGACTTAATTTGACTCACAAAATTTTAATTTAAATATATTTTTTTATTAAAAAAATCAAATTCTTTCCATTGAAATATTTAAAATAAAATTCATATCTATTCATTATGAATAATTAAGATTTTGTAACGTAATTAAGTCAATTTTTTGGTATGCATTTTCTTAATGCCAATTTGTTTAGTTATTATGAAGCAGATACATGGCAAGAATAAACTCATTAAGCTCCTCAATTAAGCACTAACCAGCCCATATCTAATTGTTCTAAGTTTATAGCTATCAAAAAAGACGCTGTCAAAAATTCAAGTTCTAATTAAATTTCTTTTTTTTTTTTGGAATAAAGTTCTAAATAAATTTCCTAGTGAAAGCAATTGTAATAAAGTTGCACCAAACGTTAATAAGAAGCAGCAATGATTTATTTTCTTGATTATTTTATCTATATATAGATTGGTAGAAAATTTCATTTCTTGAATTCTATATGCTCTAGTATTTTTTTTATAGATTCTATTTTGGTATATGCTTCATCACTTCCACCTGAATAATTTCAAAAAATCATTTATAAACAATAAAGTAATTTTCAAATCAATTGATCTACTAACTCTAATATTAAATTACAATTATAATTATAATCAAATATTACATTCAATTCGTATACAAATATTAATTAAAGTAAACTCATATTTAAACAGATTTCTCATTCCAAAATCCTACACGCGATATACCCAAAATTGACATCTTCTTGCTGTATCAAACATTTTCTATTTATCTTCATAATGCGACCACTAGTCAAAATAATAATGGACTCAAATGGTATAATATGAAGTCTATAAATTAGCTAATATAATATATCATATCCTATAATAATATTAGCATTGCAGTATAACTGCTAAGACTGTTGTTTAATGTCGTGCTTCTTTGTTCTAAAGTCCTTCAATGCTTTTGGGTATTCACGCCTGCGCATGCCCCTTTTTTTTTTTTTGGTTTGTGTATGCTTCGCTATGCTTTTTTTTTCCCAAATTTGTTTCAATGTGTTCTCTTTTTCATCCAATAATTCAATCTTGTCTAGTGAAAAGCCTAAAAAGGTGTAGTAATACTTTTTTTTCCCTTTCTTTTGAAGAAAAATTGCTTACTCTATTAATGCAATATTAGGCCAGACATGGCAAGCTTTCTCAACCCCCAAAAAAGAAGTGAATTCTTTTATAGCTAGTTTAATTATCATTGAATCAGTCTGATAAACATTGATTGCATTACATTGAGTTTAAATTCAATATTTCAGAAAAAAAAAAAAAAAAAAACCTTCATTTGGTCAAGTGAGACAGTCTGCTTAGAAAAGGATCTTGGAGGGCTAAGTATCACTGACTTAGACTTAAATATTGGTGGATTGATTGACTTAAGGCAAACCAAAGGCTGCTGTTGCTGGAAGTGTTATCATGCTGGAATAATCAAAAGGTTTTTTCCCAAGTCAATTGGTGTGAAGGATTCCAATTACGCTGAGTTCATGGCAATCATAGAGGAAGGGACTCTCTTTCTTTTCTTCATCTACTTGGGCTTGCTTTCACTATATTATTATTATTGAAAGTAATTCTAATTAAGAATGAAGTTCCGTGGACCACCAAGCATTCCATTGTCCCTTGGCGTACGGAACTTATCCCAAACCAGATTGAAAGCTTTAAGTCCAGACTCAAAGGTGTTTCTAATTTTCTTCATACTCAAAGTGAGGCTAACTCGGTTGCTGATTTGTTAGCCAAATGAGGAGTCTCTCTTGTGGCGTGGCTGTAAATTGTAATGGTTTTAAGTCTTACTGTCACTTTTTGCTACAGATTTTTGTTTCTGTTTCGCTAATTTTTATTTCAATAACATTCCACCAGACAGTTTCTTAAAATAAATTAAAAAATAAAATAAAATTCATCTGTCTCACTGGCAACTTGCTATCACCATCACCTACACTAATTATCTTCCAGTATCACTACCATACAAAATTTATGGCGCAGAAAGAGAAAAAAAAAAGGAAAAAAGAAAGAAAGAAAAAGACACTTCTCTTCTTATGCCAGTTAAAACTTAAGAGAGCTGGTGAGGTTATTGGTCTGGAAAACTGCCCACACATGACAGATAGTTCTTAATTTTGTTTTGGGGGGGTGTGGAGATTGGGATGGGGTTAATATTTTTGGGATTTTTTTTACTTTTGTTGGATGTGTCTTTTATGATTAGTTGTTTTCTTTGTGTTATAGGGATGCTGCTTTCTTCTGTTGATATTCAGAAAGATGATAATGTCTAGCTCCTGTTAGCCCACGGAAAAGGATAGAAAGGAGAGACTGGAGAACCCCTAGAAAAAAATGAAGGAAAAAAGGTGAAGAAAGAGCAGCAGGTGATCAGTCAGAAGAGCAAAGATACTTAAATGCCTAAAAAACAAAAAAAGCAGAGAAAGTGAAGTACTATGTTCTCTGTGCGATGAAATCAAACAACAATTGCAGCTCCTTTTATTTTACCCTGTCTTCTTTCTCACAACTCTAGTGTTTACAGTCATGCATTGCTTTTCTTCTGTATATCAAACTCTTGTCATGTGTTTCCTTTAGACTCTTCCATTTCCATGGGAGATTGGGAGAAATTGTACAATATTTGAATGAAAACATAACTGTAATGGAAAATCAAAACTTTAAACATAAATTTCTCATCTTTTTTTCTCGACCCACTCAGTTCCTTTCAAAACCCAGTTTCAGAATGCAAATTTCGACAAAAAAATTTTGACTTCACGTTAACCAAAGTGAATCATAGCAGCTGAAAATTTGAAACTCATCTACAACTATTTGTGGGGCTATGCTTTTCTCTCAATCTTGTTTTGGATCAAAATAGTAAATCATTATTTTACGTGTCTTGGATCCAGAATAAGCCATTTTAATGTTTGTCAAATTAGTTATGAAGATGGTGCAAAAGTAATTAATGAAGATGTTGAAAATGCAATACAACTAAATTACTTAATTCCTTTGAAATCAAATCCTACCTGCAAATGCTGACTTTTTTTTTCCCACTCCGCATGCTAAAACTTTCATGTAACATGAATTAAGAAACACTATTCCTGTTAGTAGCATAAATTTGAAATAATATTGTTAATTTTATTAAACTTATTTTTATTATAAGTAAGGATGCTAATTTTATTTATATTCCATGAAGAATTTAATTTTTTACCCAAATAAAAACATGTATGGATATCAAATTTTAGGTTAAGATATGTATAATTTTGAAAGACCCTTGTAGGATGAAAATGAGTGTAAACTTTTACGCAAAATAAATATGAATACGAAGATAAATATATTATAAAAAAAATGCTTCACCCATTCAATACCTATCTCTATAACATCCCTAATTATAAGTGACATAATTTTACATGCTTAAAACACTATAAATAGTATTTTATGAGACTTTTAGTCATAAGTATTCACATTTTTATAATAATAATATTTTTTTCAGTCAAGTATATAATAAAGTTTGGAAGGTTTAAGGATAAATTAAGAAATTTTTAAAAATAGTATTACGATAGTACCGTGTGTATTTGTACCATTACCAATAAATCCATTTAACAGCATTAATTTCTATTTGAGATGTTGCTAAAATATAATCAAATGTATAAAAGTATTACTAAAAAAAAAAAATTTGTTGTCTGAAAGACTTTCATGTTTTCAATAATACAGATTTTAAACACAATGTTGTTAAGGTAATTAGCTCATTGGCTTAGAAAAAAAAAAGCAATTATAATTGTTAATCATTTTTCTATATAGAAAAAGGGTATCTAAGAACACAAAAACCAAAATGCTTTGAAAGAAATTTTCTTTTGTAAGAATAAAGAGCGAATCCTTTATTTATTTATTTTTTTGGTGCAAAAGAGACTATAATATTTAAATAAAAGAAAAGATTATATATATTACAGATATTAAAATTTGAAGTTTAGACTTACTATATGTCATAATAAGTCACCTCGTAAAGGTGATTACCTTTTTATTACTTTCTTTTCAAGCAGTACATAAATCTTTATGCATGTAAAGCTTTGATATTTTAACAAAGAGTTTTATTATGTCACCATGAAAATTATAGCAGGACACATGCATGTAAATTATTAGCAGTTTTTTTTTGTTGAAAATAATATTTAAGACAATTAAATTACTATCTAACTGAGGGAAATTTTAATGGGATTAAATAGGCAAAGTTGGATTAGTATAATTAATTGTAGGGTGAACATGGACTTGTGTCTGGATTTTGGGGACCATTTGGCAATAATGGTGCCTTTGCTTTGTATCAGTCATTCAGAACAGTTTGTGAAACTTTGCTCAGTGTCATCTTGAGATGCCCAACACTGCTTCTTGAGAGATGAAAAAAAGAAGAGAGTGTGCTGAGAAAAAGAAATACCAAAACCATAAACCCTAAAAGAAGAGCTCTTTTGATATATGTGCTTTCTCCTCTTTTCGTTCTTTACATTTTTCCACCTTCCAAAGAGACAAAATAATAGCAGAAAAGAAAATTGATTCAAAAAAGGCAAAATTGTTTCTAATAATCCATATTTTTCACAAACAAGTACTTATCCAGATTGTTTTGTTTGCTTGGAAAAGGGATGCCATAACTCATATTATCACAATTCACAAGTTAACTTAAACTTTTGACTGAAAATAGGGTTCCTGGTATCTGTCTTTTCCATTTTCCTTTCTTTATTTATATATATGTATATGTATATATGAATGTAATATACTGATATGTCACCCTTTTTTTTCCTAAGATATGTTATCTTAAGAGGTGGCATACAGCAAATTTGGAATTTGAATAACAGCACCTGCAATTCCTTCACTATTCTTAGGTTGTGACCTCCATTATACCAATATATATATATAATATATATATATATATAATACTGATATTACATTTCTTTACTGACATCAATCTGACAGTTAAGTGCTGCAACTTCATCTTAAATGCGTTAATTGATCACTTACTTCAGTTAGTCAAAGAAAAACCAGAGAGATAGCATTGTAAGGTCAAATTTTCCTGCATGTTGGTGTATATTCTGTTTTTTGCAGGAGAACTAGAAGAAGAAGAAGAATTTCCAACTCATTTTTATCTTCTCTGATTTCTCATCAATCATTTGACATGAGGGAGCAATTTGTATATGGCTATGTATGTTTTACCAAGGAAAGTTTTTGGCTATTCAAGAAGTAAAATTCAATGTAAGGGAAAAAAAAACTCAAAATTTTCTTGTTTTATTCCTAGTTTTGTCCTTTTTCCTTCCTTCCAAGGGTCAGTAACAAAATCACCCTTCAAAGATTGAAAAGTTGCATTGCAATTCATTCTTGGTCTACCCCTAGGGTTTCTATTTTTGTTTGTTTTGGTGGCTGCGTTATTAATATCATGATATCACACCAAATACAAAAGAAACTTTTGCATATTTACAGAAAACTAGCCAACTGCTTATTCCTTCAGCAAAGACTGGTACCGATACAGAAAATGGAATGTATATTTCAAACCAGGATCCAATACAAATTGTTTCTAAGACCTAACCATTTGAACATGTGAAAGGCTGTTTTTTCTTTGTTTTTTAACTTTTTCCAAGATGAGCAAACAAATTTGCCTACGGCACTGTTTACACTCAATTGGTCTATATGAATTGTGATGAAGTAAGTACTAAAAGAATTGAAATTCCGTTGAGTTTTTTTCTTTTTTTTCTATTTCTCAACAGTTATAGGTTCAACACTTCCAACTTGCCTTCCATGCATATCTTTCTGCAGAAAAGTTGTGTGGTCCTCTTTTCAACTCTACTGGGATGTTTTAAAGGAGAGTTATATAGATCGGTCCCAAATCTATAAAGGAGTTGTTAAGGTCTAAAGCAATTACCGAACACATCAAATTGACAATTCCCCTCAAGTTTATACACCTCAAATTTCATCAAGCACCAGTCAAAAGACTTATCTTGGTAGATTTCTCTTTTGTGTTTTAATCGTCTCTCATAATTAAGTAATCCCATTTCTAGATATCCTATTTGAATTCAACATAACCTGTTTTTTTGGAGTACTATGCTTAAATTTTTGTTCTTCATATATATATATATATATATCAGTTTTTATTGATCATTAGCTATGTGATAGAAACTCAAAACTTAATTAATTCATATAAATTTGGGATTCCAATCATATCACTTGCAATCCTTCCACTATTCTTAGGCTACGACCTCCACGTACAAAAAAAGCTATGTGATAGCGACAGAACCACTTTACTATTTTGTAAGCATGGCCATGGCTTGCAAGAGAAGTGAAGTGGGAACAAAGCAATAAAACCTAAGAAAAATTGTGTATAAAAACAAAAAAAAGAAAACTCTAGAGCTGCCTGTTTCCAATTTTTGCTCACATGTACATCTTCCTTAGTACTATAGGCGTGCATTCATCAACCCAATGTGATAGAGATTCAGTCACAAGGCATTTTGTAATTGTCGGTAAAAGCATGCCTCATCACTTTTTGAAATGTACAGCATGGTCTCCCTTACATTCTACATTGTTTTTGTGTAGGAATCACAGATTATTAACTTACTCAAAACCATGTGTCTTTCCTTGCTCACAATTAACTTGATAAATACCTGCTGCGATATTTTTATTGTTATGGCAGAGAGGAGACTATTAAGCACCCCTAATAATAGCTTAATATGCTTGAAGGAAGGAAATGATAAGATATCGACTAGCACATTTATTTGACAGATGGCAAAATGCGCCATGTGGCAGCCCTACTGCCATTGTTTTTTTTCTTAAATTCTTACATGGACAGTGGTTGTTTGAATTCCGGCATCTTTCTTATCTCAAATGGATGAACTTCAACAATAAGTTTTATTCTCTTACAAGTACAAGCAAAAAATTTTGATCTTTCAATATACATGCAGGTTGGGTTGAGTCCAGCACCAAAGTTTCAGGGTGCATTCATCACATAAAGCGTTTGATATTTTTGTAAGTTCATTTGATTTGCAAAACAATCCGGTCTTACTTCTTCGTTTTAAAACCAGATCTGTATAAGTTATTACTAGAGTACTATTCCTATAGATCTGCATCACATCCTCATATTTTCTTGCTTAATTTCTCTTCTCCACTAAAGCAAACCAAGTTTGAGCTTGATTAGATTCTACAAGATAAAAGGATATGAGATTTAGGCTTATACATATATATATACTCATCTCCTCTTTTTGCATATGTGTTTGACTCAACAAATTTTTCAACATTTTTTTCTTCACTTTTAAGAAATTTTCTTTGTTTTCAGGAAAAATTGGGAACTACCTTTTTGGCCTTGGGACTACATATTTTAGTAGGAGGTTTATTACTTCACATTAATTGATCAACTTTCTGTCTTTGTTGTTCTTTCTTTTCTTGCAATTTTGACGCAGATAGTTGACGGGATCTACACTAATCTTTTTGCAAGCGAATTCTGATTCCTGACTCAGAAATGTAAAGGAAGATCCAGGTTAACCTGCAGCTGAAAGGATTATTCAATTGGTTTTCAGCTGCTTATGCTTCAATAATGTGAGACATAAGATGATTGCAAGTTCAAAGGAAGCAGATTTTCCCACCAAACAAGAAGGCAACATAAATGATACCGAGGTCAGTAAAGGTCCATCTAGTTCTTTGCCATGGTTGAGATTGAAGGATCAGCGAATTGTACGTGTTTCGCGTGCCTTTGGGGGAAAAGACAGGCATAGTAAAGTTTGCACCATTAGAGGATTAAGAGACAGAAGGGTGAGGCTCTCGGTACCTACTGCTATTCAATTGTATGATCTTCAAGACAGGCTTGGACTTAATCAGCCTAGCAAGGTTGTTGATTGGTTGCTTAATGCAGCTAAACATGAAATTGATGAACTCCCTCCACTCCCAGTACCACCAGGGTACTTTTCCCTTAACCATCAAATGGTTCTAAGTACTTCTCAAGAAGCTAGAGCTTCCCAATCCAACAAAGAAGGGCTTAAAACCAGTACTAGTGTTAATTGGGAAGATCCTGCAGGAGGGTTATCAAGATCAAGCTTTTGGAGTTCTGACGCTTTTTGGAGGGCTAAATCCAAAGACGTTTCATGGGAAACAACAACCAATGAGAAAGACAATTGGAACAAAAGAAATGAACAGGAAAAACAAGAAGCCAGTGAAGGTCATCATGGAGCACAAGTACCTTCGGATAATATCTTACAAAGAGCCAATCGTTCTTCCTTGCCAGCATTGTTAAACAATGCAGAGCCGTATGGTTCTTACTATCATTTTGATCCTTCTAATTTTCCTTTATCACAGTTAGGAAGCCATGGATTTGCATCCCACACAGAAGAACGACATAATTTCAATGTTGTGCCATTGCCATCAACATTATCTCTATCGTCTGGCTCTCAAATATTGGTATGTCCACCAGGAGCAACACAGCCTTTCTTCCCTCCTCAGACCACAGCCTCTCTAGAGATTGATCCTAGACAACAAGTTAATCATTTCCAAATGCTGAGCTCAGGTGCACAAAGCCTCTTGCCTAATTCTCTTAACCCTCCAGCTGCAGCATACTCAATAAGCCAATCTATCAGACCCTTTCATTTGAGTATGATTCCTAGGCTTCACAATTCTCACAACAGCAGTGGAAATCAACAAGATAAGGAGCAGGACTTTCCTTCTAAATGACAAGAAAGCAATGTAATGAGGAATGAAGTGAGGAATTTCCCTTTGGAATAACTTGCACGGTGCATGACTAAAACCATTTTGCCTGAGGCGAAGGGAAAAGGTACTGTTTGAATCTATTTACATAATTTCAAGGCATTCTTCTTCCTGGAAGTGATATGTAGACGAATTAAGTTATAATTACTGGGATAGCAATTAATGTTTTATGTTTGATTTCATAATTTTGTTTCTTTGGATGATTGGCAAGTCAGATCTTCATAGATTTGAATGCCATGCTAAAAATATTTGAAATATATTTGATGCTATGTGACTAGTTTGATATATCCTAGTGAAATATCACAACACCGAAAAGTGTTCATATATAGTTCTTAAATTTTTCAGCTGAAAGAATGACCATAGTATTGCTAGAGTAATATCAATGAAATGCTACAAAGTTATGTTGCATTGGTTCTGAAATTTGGTTATGTGCACAACATGTGACAAGCATATATAACAATTTGTGCTCAGAGATATGGAAACTACCAACTCCTTTACCACCCTCTCCTTACACTCGTTTCTCCCAACTCCCACGCAAAAACCAAAGGAAGGAGATATGGAAACTGAGTAGGTGAGGTACATACACTTCCCTTTTGAAAAATATGCTGTAGAAACTGAACCATAGAACCTGGAAATGGGATAGATTTGATTGTTAAAAGCTGCTGCAAAGCAAAAAGAAAAAAGGATTACACGTATTAGCAAGCAAAGTAGATGAAGGGATTTAAGGCAGTGCCAACTTTGCACAAGATCCAACAGGATAATGTAATGATGAAAGAAATAGCAGGATGAAAAAATAGGGTTAAAAAAGGACCCACATTTTGAAAGTTACATGAAATGAAAATTAAGTTTGTGGTCCTTGACGCTGCAGGTATGAGAAATGCATTGAACGAGAGAAAGAAGCAAAGTTGAATGTAGCGTTCTCAGAAGTTAATTTATTATCTCTGGTCCTTCATTGTTGGAAGAGAAAAAAAAATGCCCCACAAGCCTGTTATGTTTAATAGCACTTGGCGCTGCAGCCCCTATCTATAGCTTTCATCTGACTGTCTATACCATACCAGTTTTGCTAATTTAAATCAAAGCAAAACTGTTTGATTAATTGCTTTATACAACACAAAACTGTTAGATTGGAGATCAGCTTGGGCTTGCCACTGCTGCTGCTGCTGCTGCTTATAGCTAGCTTTTCTAGGGTTTTGTACTGTGATTACAGGTTTTTGTTCCTATAGGAAAAGCTCATGCACCAAGCTATATGCCTGGAGAAAACTTAGCTATAGATCATTAATGGTTTGCTATTAATGTAATTAATTTAAGAACATACGCTAATATTTGGAAAGTGGATAGTTTTCAAACATATATAGGTAAGACTGGTTCTTGAGAAAATTACTATAAAGTGTTATGTCCAATGAATTAAGAGTAGAAAGAACAATTAATGCATTTTATAGCAGAAATAAGATATTAACTTTGCAGTTCCGTTCTGAATGTTTGATCCTGTTTAATTGCATGCTGTATCTTGGATATATAATTAATCTCTCATTATTAGTAAGTAGTGATGATACTGTCTTTAGGGGTAAACCTTCCGACCCGAACTTGTCTTCAAAAAAATTTTTACGAGTATCCAATGATAGATACCGGTATCTTCTAGTTTGAGGACTAAATTCTATATCTCTAGGGTCATGGTAATTGCTGCTCATTCACTTATTTGACATATCCTCTTTTTTTTTCCTCTAAAATTTTGCATTTATATTTGTTCAACATTGATTTATTTATACATACATACATACATACATACATATATATATATATATAAAGAGAGAGAAAGAAAAATGCTTGTCAATGTGTAAATGAATAGAATATTCAATAAAAAATTCGTGAAATACTTAATTTCTATTCGTTTATTAAATTTAATAAATAATTATAAAAAATATTTTAAAATTTATTAATTATACTAACAGATTGCTTATATGACAAAATTTATTAATATTCAGTTTATTTATGACGTATAAGTGTAAATGAAAATAACATTTGATGATAATTTATGAATAAATTTGATTTTTATTCGTTTATTAAACTTAACAAATTATTATAAGCAATATTTCAAGATTTATTAATTAAATTAATAAATCACGAATATAATAAAATTTATTCATATCTAATTCATTTATACCCATACTTACCGATCATTAATCTAAGAACCTCTACTTGCTAATCATTGAGCAGAAAAAAAAGGCTCACTATTAATCTAAGAACTCTTCTTATTAAGGTTTTTTATTCCTAGTCAGTGTTTTTATTAAACATAAATTAATTAAATAATATGATTTGATAAAATTGTTTCTTCACATTATTGTATTCAACTTTTTACCTTTTTTTTTTATTAATTCGTGAAAGGGGAAAATCCATTTATAGTTTTTGGTTAATTTATTATATAAAATAAATTAAGTCTCTGGTTAATTGTTGCTTTTTGGACTGAAATTAAGTTACTGCTGAAAGAAAGTAAAGAATGTTTAGTGTTTTCTGCATGGAATATAATTAATATATAAACAATTAAACTTATCAAAAAGAATTTTTGAATAAAAGTTTAAGAACAATAAGATGGATAGCTTAAATAAATTGATCAAAAACTTGAAAGATCGGCTTTGTATATAAAATGGTATATATAATATTAATAAATATATTTATATTTAATATACTATTAATATATAAAATGCTACACACTATCAATTAGTCATACAATGATACCTCATAAAAAAACTAATTTTAAATATATTTGCTTTTAAGATTTTAAAATTTTAAAATTAATTTTTTATGAGATATCATTATATACCAAGTATAGCATTTATAATCATCAAATATAAATTATATATATATATATTGTGAATTAATACAACTTTTTATCGTTTGTTTTAAATTCTTTATTTTAAGTACATATTGATATTTTAATTCAAAGAACTTTGAATTAAAATAGAAAGCAAAATTTTCGATGTTTTTACTCTTTTCTTTTTTATTTGTTTAAAGAAGGTTAAATTAAAAGGATATATTGTTACTTATTTAATTTTTTTTCATGTAATTTCATCCAAAATTTCCTTAAACTTAATTAGTGCAACCAAAATACAATTATTATTATTATTATTATTATTATTTGATAAATGGGTTATTGGACTACAAAAAGGAAGGTAGCCCTATGCCCCTCTCCCATCATAATCTCACCCTTCCATCTTTTCTCAACCCCTAAAATAAAATTTTAGTAAGTGCTTTCTTCACCAATAATAATTCCTTCCATTTTTGCTACACCAAATGGACATATTATTACAATCATATTTTTCTTTATGTAAACTCTTTCTAATTATGAGTTTTATAACACTTTCATGACGTCTTCTACATCTTAAGCAAGATACCCAATGTCCAATTAATCTTCTCTTTGATTGCCTTGTTATTCTCAAGTGTAAAAACTTTTTTTCTACAAAAAAATCTAATATTGCACTCGAATATTTTTCTTAATAATTTTTAATGTATGATCCATTTGCTCAAAGAATAGAATTCAAATTCCTTTTTTTTCCAAATAAAAATAATTATACAAAATTCTTTCTTCTTCAAATAGAAAAAAAAAAAACTTATTTTAAGTATATTTTTCAAATGTTATGTGTATTTCTAGTGCCTTAAAAACCTAGATATACATTCCTAGTTCATCGAGAAAGGAGATAAAGCTAGTGTATCATATTAGGCATGATCATACATAAGATAAAATCATATTTGGAAAAAGTACACAATTAGTTAGAGGAAGGGGTATTATAAAGAAATTAAATGCAAAGGAGAGAAAAACGATCATATTAAAATTACATTATGAAAAGGTTCAATTGATATTCAAAAATTGTTTAATAACAGTTGGACGACTGAAAAATGTTTACATTAAAATTACATTATTGGAAGGTCAATTTGATACTTAATAACAATTGTTTTCCGTTTTTTGGTCTAATAATTAAAAAATCTTTAAAAAAATATTAAAATTTAAATTCGAATCAAACTACCTCCTTTTTTTTTCTCATGTAATAGGGTATTGCCTTCATTTGAAAAAAAAAAAAAATTGGACAAGTGAAAAATGTTGAGGTGAAAAAAAAATTTGCAGAGAGGAATCTAATTATTTTAATTCAATGATATCAATTTTACCCTCCAAGAAGACCGAACGCAGCGTTTTGCTTAACATGTGAACGCACTACCACTATACTAGGGAAGTGCCGGCCCTGCCCTCCAATTAAAATCTATGCTGTTTTGTTCACGTTGCAAACTTCGGAAATGACACGTGGCTGATAGTTCTTGGTTTCATACTTTTTTAATGTGACCATTATCAATCATGTCAAGAACATTCACAAAAATTCTAAGAACTGTCATGTGTATGTATCATTTACCCTCTTAAACAATCTCTAGTTCTTTCCGTTTATAAAACTAACGCCCAATTTTTTCGATCTCCAAGCAAAGATTTATCAAGGGTTTCAAAAGCCTAAGATTTAAAATTTCCCCAAATCTTACAATCCCTAATACCCCATTTATTCACCAAATGCTTCCTTTCATTCATCAAACGTAATAAAAAAGGTGAGCTTTCCGCCTTCATTTCTCTCTTTATGTTTTGGGGTATTCTTTTCTAATTTTTAAATATTTTTTAAATAATTGAATATGAAATTGATATGAAGAATTATTGAACATGAACGATGGAAGTTTGGAGAATAGAAAAGAACACGAAAAATCACAAAAACAGTCAAAGTCTTCCAAATTTCGTAGGAAAAGTGACGATTTTGCCCTTGCTATCAGGAAGGTTGCAGTGGCGCAAGTATGCGAAAGCGTAGGGTTTCAGAGTTTCCAACACTCTGCTTTAGAAACATTATCTGATATTATTGTTCGGTACATTTATAGCATAGGAAAAACCGCAAGTCTTAATGCTAATTTGGCGGGGAGAGCGGAAGCGAATGTGTTTGACGTTATTCAAGGGTTGGAAGAGTTGGGATCGGGTTTAGGCTTTGCTGGTTCATCTGATGTTGATCGCTGTGTTGCTAATTCAGGGATTGTTAGGGATATTGTTCACTATGTTGGTCATGTGGATGATATCCCGTTTGCATATGATGTTCCTCGATTCCCAGTTGTTAAAGAGTGGAAAGGAATGGGAAGTTTTTGGGAAAAAGGAGAAGAGCCTCTTGGAGAGCATATACCGAGTTGGTTGCCTGCCTTTCCTGATCCTGAGACTTATGCTACTCGGTCAAGTGCAGGGAATGAAATGATGAGTGTTTCGAATGGAGAGAAGACTGAGTTAGCGAGGGTTGAAAGGAAGGTGGAGCAGTCATTGTTGAATTTGCAACAGCGGTTTGCACATAATGGGAATGAAGGAGGTTCTTCACGTGATGGTGGAGATAATGGTAGAGCAAGGAAAGCTTCTCTTAGCAATCCTTATCTTGCTGCACCTCTGCTTTTTGGGGAAAAGGAAGTGGAAGTGTCGCCTGTTCTTCTTCCAGCTAAGCTTTTGAATGAAGTGGCTTTGAGAAATCATGTTCCAGAAAATTGTGTTGTGGGAAACCATGTTTCCTTGCTAGAGACATTTGCTCCTGCTATTGAAGCAATTAAGAGTGGGTTATGTAACTCGGATAATGAACAGAAAAAAGTCCTTTATAACCAGAGGCCTTTGGTGCATTTTAAGATTGGAATTGGAAAGAAGTCTTTAGGCATGGCACCAGATTTCAATTCATCGAAGAAGGATCCTGGGAAGATTGCTTCATGGTTTGGAAATGATAATGAGAAGGATGACCAGAAAAGAAGAGCAGAAAAAATCCTGAAAGAATCAAGAGAAAGCTCTCAGGAACGAGCTCAGTTGTAAACTAGGTTTGTTATCATCCATTGTAGACTGTTCTAGAATGGACCTAGAAAGGGACTGTGCAAGCTACCAGAGAGAAGTCTCCTGCTTTGAAAGCTTTCTTGAGGTATCCATGTGACAGTTGCCATGATAGAAATTTGTCAATGTATGATTCTTTTTAATTTACATTCTTGTTTCTTCTTTTGTGGTCTTAAACTGATCATGGATTTATCAGTTTGTGGCTCAATCTGAACTCCATATGTACACTATGCTCACAATTGTTGAAGCTTTATACAATATTGTATTAGCATCTGTTACTAATGAAGTCAGGCTAATTTCATGTTGCATGCTTTCTGCATTTTTAAGTTGAGACCAAAGTTGGAGAACAAGTACCATCTGCTGTAAACTTTCTTTAACTGGCATCATGTCACACACCATCATGAATAATATGGAAACTGAATATTCATGGTTGACAAGTTAGATTTAACTGGCATCTTCACTATATTATGAATATCTATTCCATGTTCAATGGCCTTGTTGATTTGTTTTGTTGTTATCTTGATGGTAGCCTTTGCTGACTACATAGGATGTTCTGGATAACATATGAAAAATAGTAATAGTTGACGGATTGAAACAGAATGGTGAAGGCTAGGTTAAGCATAATTAATATCCTGTTACATGTAGGTCATTGTATATGGTGCACCCGCTCCTTGACATATTTCTATTTTATGTATAAACTAAATTAACAGCTATAATACTTTCACTGGCATTTTAGATGTTACTTTGAGACAAGGAAGCAAGGCTTGATATAGGTTGCTAGTATCTTAACTGTGCACCTATCTAATCTGACACAGAACAGTAATTAAATCCTGTGTATGTCAATTGTCCTTTAGTTGTAGGGGTTCATGAGGATATGGATAGACTCATATCTGTATTATCATTACAAAAAGTTTCCTACATATTGAAATAGAACGGGTTGTACATGGGTCAAGATTAATGTGATCAGATGCTTTCAAACAGCTGCTTTTGAGCTTTATCTTCTAACAGGGTTCCGGTATACTGCAATCCCAAATGGGATGTCTTGAATTCCTTTAATCATCTGAATTTTCAGGTTACACTTGTTATGACATTGAAAATTGTGTCCAACTTTGTTCTGTGTGAATAATACGTGTTGGATTTGTGCATAAATGTGTTATAAGACCTAGGATAGGGTCTTACTCTAGCTAAAAATACAATCTGACTAGGAATCAGCATTGGATAATTTGCAGAACTGCATTAAGATGCAGAGATAATCAACCATCCTGGATTTTGAAATTGAACTCAAAAGTAAGTAATGGCATTTAAAGATCACTTATTGGGAGTAGGGTTGAAAGTTACTAATTACATTGCATCAGTGCAATCCAAACCCTAATCCGACCCACTATAACTTATAGTATATTGCAGAAATTTATAGCAATCCATGGTATTTAAAGATTACTTACTGCTATCATTTCTTCTTTCATTCTTTGATGTCAAACGCACCCCCTTCCCTTCCCCACCCCCCTTTTGCTTAGTATTTAGATATAGCTGTCAATGGTTTTTCCTTCTTACTGATTAAATAGGTACTAGCAGGGCGGTTGAATGCAATAATGACTTACATCCCAAAAACTTCAAGTTTTCTTGTCTAAGGAGCCAATCTATATATCTCTAATTTTTTTGCTAAATAACATGGGAGTCAGAATTTGTGGTGGTTCACTAAGAACCTTGAATCAAATTTGAAGTAGCAAGAAGCTTTGGATGACCGCATATGTTGAAATTTGCCTTTTAAACAACTGCTCATCTAGAAGCATTTTGCAAATAGATCATTGCTGAAGATTATACATATCAACAAATGCTTTTTGACACTGAAGGGGCTCCTTTTATTTGGGTTGAGGAGGTCTTAGTTTAACATTTAATACTTGCATAACCACTTGAAATGGTGAACGAATGAATTGTCTGTTTGGTGCAAATGGTAAGCAAAGCAATAAATCTTATGAGTCATTGTACCAACTTGAGAAGAAGCTTATTAAATTCTTTGATTACTTCTTTGTTAGTAGTTGGAAAAAGAAAGTTATCTCATATGGATATGCTTGATGCAGATACAATTGTACTGCCAAAAAGGGAGAGAATACATATGTTAGCATATACATAAGATTGCAATATACGCGCATTTCAAGGGCTTTTTAATTTACATGGTGGTAAGTTTCATTCAAGTTTTATTTGCAACTATAGACCAAATGAATTTGAGAAAAAAGATAAATGAAGAAACCCTTTTTCTTGTTGCCCCTTTTTCTCCATTCCAGATGACATCATTAGAAATACCACTTCAAAAACAGTCGCCTGCAATGCACACTAGGCTGCCTGCCCTTGTGAATTTGCTGCTTCACCACTGATAACTTCACATCTAGTACTACCCATGGAATTTCACACCGCCCAATCAATTGATCCAAGCGTCAAATCTCCCAATAAGATGCTTTTCAGACAATAAATCTCATCATCCAAGCTTACATTTGATGCAGTTTGTAGTTTATCTATATCGGAACATAAATCTCTTACCAGCCGTTGTCCCTGTGGTCGTCTATCCTCCAGCGTACTCGGTAAGAACCACTGCTTATGAGAGCTTCTTTCACCAATTTTCTGACTAAAACTTCATTAGCTGCATCAAATATAAGCTGCCCGTGGTTCTTCTCAATTGGCTCGAACTGGTTGATCTTTCCGCCATTGTGTTTTCCATTTAGAAGCCTAATGCTTTCCTTGGTTTGTTCTAGGGCAGAGAACAAGTTAGAACTGATTAGATGACCTGATGGATTGAAGCTCATTGAGAAGACATGCCAACAATACTTGGGCAATGTATTTATGGTTTGGATTTGGACTGTTGCGAACAGGTGCAAATTCATTGATAATGGACCACTAGAATAAGTTCATGAGTTTCGTGATGACAAAATTTATAGCATGATAATTTTCATATTTTACTTGTATATATTTGAAATAGATAGATAAATATATATGAATTTTCATATTTTATATATATATATATATTCACACTATCAAGTTCATTTAATAATTATAAAAATTTTTATTTCTTTACTTTAAAATTTTACTGGCAATATATAAGATAATTTTTTTATATACAGTGCAATGCCTTCTAATAGAATAATTGATCCTTTAGGATGGTACATTCAATAGTATGGTCCAAAAAATGCTTACCATTTATGTAATAAGGACATAATTTTACGATAAAGGCATGGTAAAGGGACAGACTAAGAGGTTAATGGACTGCTGTAGTTTCCAAAATTGTATACATGGGGGAATCGGAAAATACTAGTTTTTTTTTTTTTTGCTTATTTGGTTTTTGTTTCCATCCTAGAATATTTGTTTGCACAGTTGTCCCAAACAGCCCAAGTCTTGGCAGTAGGAATTATATACCATGCAAGATGGAACTAATACAACTTTCAATGAAATCCTTCGTATTGTTGTTATTATTATTATTTTTTTGCTCTTTTTAGTAAGATGGGGTTTTCTTTTTATTTGGTCGATTTTTTAAGACTTAATAAAAGTAAGATTTAGTAACACTTGATGCATTGGTAGTATTATTTAATTACCATACCTTGTAATGCCTCAATCTGCCCACATTGAATCATATGATGTATAAAACTTCCCTATAAAAAAATATAAAGAAAAAAGAAAAGGACTTTTGGAGACTTTGTGTTCTTGTTTTCTGGCAACAAGGTATTCCGTATTGATTGAAAGAGAGTAGCACAATGTTGCTAATGCAAAATTTACAATAACACCAAATCCATATCCCATATATACATACATCTTTGGAGTAAAATGATCCTCAAGATAAAGCTTAATGGTTCATCATTTGATCCCATTCAAGCACTTTTCCCAGTTGCATTGACCAGAGTAGTGAAATTAAACCTGAAGATGAATATTCCAGAAACAGACTTGCTAGTTACTGCTAAGATGAGTAATAAAGATTTACCATAGAATAAAGGAGCTTTTTATAGAAAGACAAATCACCTGATAAGCGACTTCTGAGGAGGCACACAGGAAGAAACACGTGCTACATTCATGAACGGTGCAGCAAGCTCCTCAACCTTTCATTTTGAAAAAGAAAAACAAAGTATGATCCTCCAGATTAAGTGTTGATCAAACACTAGGTATCATTATTCATTTCAACGTAAAAGAGCTCAACAAACTACAAGCTGTTCACATTAAAGTACTTGAAAATAGTATCCTTTTTTCCTAGTAATCTTAAACAGATAACGATTGGGAAAAAGCATTCTCAAAGCAAGCTCAAATCAAATTTGCAGATATTACAAGCAATATAAATAAAACATTATTCAGATTTCTAATATTAGAAGTACCAAACCTTTTTTATGTCATACATTTAAGGTTAGTGTAGGCAACTAAGATTGTCACACCATGCAATCAAGATAATAAAAACTTCAAGGCGGAAGAGGTTTTGGGCAGAATGCTTTGTTACTAGGATTAGGTATTAATCAATATAAAAACACATAAATTTATGGTAACAGGAAAAAAGGTGTCAGCAGAAAATACCTCAGGCTCCTCAAAAGTTTTATTCTGATTAAAGCTAGAGCAACTGCCAACAACTTTGCTTGCTCCTTGCTCCAGAGTTGAGGAAGGCAATGGATTAACTATTGCACCCTCAAATTTCTCCACTTGACTTATAGATCTGGTGTCAACTTCACGTTTATTGAGTTTCTGCTGGAAAGCAGGCTGGCCAAAATATTCAGTTCCGTCAACTGAGCATTGTACTTTTCCAGAACCTTGCCAGACAACAGATGAGCTAGAAGTTTCATGAGCAACAACCATCACTTCAGATGTCCTAGAAGACTCAGAAACAGATGAAAGATCCCCTTGCAGGCTATTTTGTGAACAATTCTCTAAATGGCATCTTGCATTACTCAGTGAGTCTGATCCATTTGCTTCATATTGTTTCACTTTTCTTGGTTCCATCAACATATTTGCATCCTTGATTGCTGTCACAGGTCCAGATTTTCTCAACTTATAACAAATATTATTATCATCCCTTTTTCTTTTCCTTCCGTCCACATTTCTATTCATAAGGCAAGGCCTAAAAGCACCAGGAAAGACAAAATGAGGAATGTCTTTGCGCCTTATATGATGTACATGGATCCACATCCCAGGCTTCCTAGAGGTGTAAACCTCCACTGACTGCTTAAATTCCTCAACAGTTGACCTTATGTCGAATGGCTTGTCTTCCTGAATATCAACACCTGGTTTCCGCCGTAACCCCATGAAGTAACAACACTGGAAGGATCTGGATTTGTCCGAGAAATTGCTAGGGTGTGGGTGGCACTGAAGCAGGCCATGTGTGTCCCTCTCAATCTAGATTTAGATCCAGTAATGAAAATTAGAGACAATACAGAAAAATAAATCCAAAAAAATGCAAAATAAAAGGGGAAGGGGGGAAATATCACCTTCAATGTAATCAGACGAAGCCGTGACTCAACCCAGCCTTTCCATTCCCTAAAATCAATATCATTCTTGGCAGCTATGTCTATCTGCAGGTAATTCTTGTATGCCTCGAAGAAAAGGAAAGGTTCAAACAGACTAGCCCATGAAGAGTTATTTGCCTCCATTACCTGAAATCATTGTAGAATATTATCATCAGTGAAAACAAATTTTCGAAAAATACAGACTATGATAGGGGCTCATGACAATAGAAATAACTATAGGTGTCATGCCAGTATGCTATACTGGTCAAAAAACTGTTAAAATACAATATTAAAATGAGTACTTGGTCCTCAAAACCTCGACCTCCAAATTTAATTTCTTTATAATTGTCAAATTGAAGTTAAGATATAAATAAATGAAGCAAGTTTCTGAAATGTTGGCTTATAGAACCTATAGGAAAAGAAGTAAGGGTGACATTTTTAAAGTTGCAGTTGAATTTACTTTCGCAAATACCAAGTGCCAACAATACATATGGACCAAGAAGATCCACAAATATTTTAAAATCATATTAAAATAGTCCATATTGTCAACAAGTAATTAGGTACAACCAACATTGCAGCATTCGCGTAAACAGAAAGCTAGAATGACATGGCAGACTAATATCATCCACACAGCCAGATGTAGAACATTAGATTCCATATGCATAATACCTGACATATTTCATTTCCCCTCTGAAATTCTTCCTGCATAACATGCAATGTACTTGATGATACGCTGTAACTAGAATTCATGCAAGGATATGCAGGCGTTATTATAGGCATCAAATGTCTCCTGTCTTTGGCATTTCGCTTGGGATCCCAAACTTGATGACCCAGAGATCCTTCTCGAATTGGACACAATATAATTGGATTAGGCCATCGCCACTGGGAAAATACTCTGAAGAACCTAGAGAGTAATGTGCAAGGCAATGCATTTGGGTATAGCTGACATATACGAGCAACAAGCAGTGCCCAGTTTATACCACCAAGAAAGCCCACAGCCTAATATGAAGAATAAACATTTAAACATACAAAATATATAAGAATAAGAAACCAAGCAAAAGAAGAAAGATTAGTAACAATAATGGAAGAGAAAACAAGGTTTTCAAGACAGATTTACTTACATTTGAATAAATTCCCCGCTGTTTTGCCCAAAATCTCATGCACCTCAACGTGGTACGGAAGTTCTGGATCAGAGATAAGGACATGATAAGTAACATATAAAGCAACACTAGGCACAAAAGGTGTGTGTATGTTAATTTCTGAATGCATGCATAAAAAATAACAAAGGTCAAACCTGAACATTTGGGACCAAGTGTAAAATTTGGTCAGTTACCCTACAACCATTAAGGCTAAGGATAGTCTGCTCATCCACATTCTGTAGCACTGATTCTTGAGAAACATCCAGATCCTGCAGTAAACATATTGAATATACTTCTTTATTGCAATTTCAAAGAAACTCAAAAGTTAGCTACCATACAAAAAAGCTTCAGTTAAAGTTAGCCAGTGTAGCAATAAATGTTAAGCGCACAAACACAGCTACGCCTCAATGAGACAGTTACAAAAGAACATGCTTAAAGAAAAAAGCACACTTGATTAAAAATACCATCAACCTAGCACCTCCAAACACGGACTAAACAGACTTATGCTATAGCACTTATAAACCAAAACCATAATTGCAAACACAAGGACACTAAAACTACCTTTTTTTTTCTTTTATTTCATGTTTCAAAGTAAAATTAAGGAAAGCCATGCCAATCCAGACAACAAGAAATTCCTAACTATTCCAATTTTACTTGTTCATCTCACGGCACAACAAGAAAAAGACAGTGCAGGAAACCATCCCTAGTAATCCATTATTTACTTGCCTAAGATAAATAAGAATCAGTTTAAGTATATGAACTATAATAAGAAAAAAGAAAAAGGAAAAAAAAGGCAATAACTACTTTATTAGTCCCTTCATGCAATTCATTAAGTCACTGCCAAGCAACTGATGAGAAAAACAAATACTAACCTCAGGAATAACCCAGAGTTCCAATCTTGCATAAAGAAGATCGACAGAAACCCCATTCATCTTAAACTTCATAACAGGAACATGCGCATCAGGCACAGGATGCAACTCTTGTATTTCGGGCATCTTAGCCAGCATTCGATGAAGTTCACCGAAAAAATCCTCCTGCAGAAAATTAGGATGCATTAAGCCGAGATGCAAGGCAATAGAAAGGGAATAGCTAAACTAATTTTACAAGATTCAATATAATATATATATATATATCTATCCAAGTTCACATCTTACCTCTCGAGTAACATGTCTAGGTCCAACACATAATGTGTCTATATCTGCACCAGGTCCATGCACCTGTATTGAAAACATGAAATCATCAATAAAAATCAATTTCACAAATTCAAGAAGAAATACCATTACTTACAGGACTAGAGCACAATCTCATCAGTTATAGAACTAGAACACAATAATATTTGTTCAATGGCACATCTTAAAAGTATAGAGAATGTCAAGGATAAAAAAAAGATGCCAAAAGCCACATGCCAACAAGTTAACAATGCAATTTGAGAATGCATATGAAATACAACAGAAAAGGCTTGATTAGAAATGTTAAGAAAAAAATTGAGGAAAATTCATACCCCCAATCGATAAGAGCCAAATGTGAAAATCTTTGCATTTGCTTCTTCAACAGCCTGTTCACCAAACCCTTTAGCCTCTGTGACCTTTTTCACCCATTCTTTCACAGTCTGTTAAATTTAGCAAAATTTCCATCAGACAAAATAACATCACTAAACAGAAACCAAAGTGCCAAGTAGGTTCAACAACTTAACCTGGTCTAACTTCCCGAGCACCTCCTCCCTTCTTATAGCTTCTTCCCGCATTTCATACAGTCCTGAATCTTCAAGAAACTGAAACAAATACTTTCATCATCAGACATTAGAAAGCAGACATAATATTCTACAATTAATCTCTTAGCCCCATTCTATTGGGTCAGGTACACACCATCTACAATTATTTTCACTATAATTTTACAATAATTTTATCCCAACCAATCGATGTGATGACCCACATGAAAACTACAAGCTCATGGGCATCGAACTGAAGGTGATTAGAACCCATTGAGTTGCCTAACAATTTTAATTTGAACTCAAGAAAGGAATAGGGGTGTATATGAACAAAACATTTGATGAACAATTCATCAGTTCAGTTTCTGTTCTTTATGTTCGTTTATTAAGTCTAACAAATGACCATGAACAACAGTTTAAGGTTTGCAAATTAGATGAATAGATAACGAACATAGCAAAATTCCTTCATGTTTGTTTCATTTGTGAAAAATAATAGAGCTTTTGATGAACAATTCTTAAACATATTCCGTTTTTGTTCGTTTATTAAGTTTAATAAACAAACAACATTTCATGATTCGTTAATTAAATGAAAAGATCACAAACATAACCATGTTCGCTCATGTTCAGTTTGTATAGACCCCCATAAAGGAATTAGAATATATATATATATTCACGCAAATTCTACAGTTAAAAACATATTCAAATGGGGAAAACTATTAGAAATTAAATAGAATGCTAGGACGAAGAGAACGAACCTTTTCAAGTTGACAATTTCTAATCACATCCAATTCAGAGGGGCCTGCTGTAGAAATCGGTTCCGTTACTCCAAACCGTCGAACATTAGCCATATTCTTCACTCGCGTTCCCTGCTTTACACTTGACGATCCAAACAAAACCACTATTTTTTTTTCGTTTTTCTTATTATTAAATTTACCTTTTCTTTTGGAAACCAACAATTTTGAATTTTGAATTTTTATTTTCTATTTTCTATTTTTCTTTTGAATATGGCTGATATGGTAATCTGCAGCGAGTAATGGAATATTCAAATATGATACGAAACCAAGAAAGAAATAAATGGAATATTAGATGGAAAAATATCAGCAAATGAATATGTAATCGATCGTACGTGATACAAATTTTTTATGATCCGGACTTGATATGATTACAACAAGGAACAAGTTTTCACGAAGCCGGACCAAAACCAGAAGCAGAACAAGATCTAAATACAGAGCAAAGAGAGATGCTTTGTGCTGCGATGAAACTCTCTCGACGGCAATTGTTACTCGTCGTCTTACGTCGTTTTTTATCGACGGCCGATTAAACCCTAGCTAGTCGTCTTCCGTCGTTTTTTTTTTTTGTCGATGGCGGATGAAACCCTCGATTAACAGAAATAATTCGTTGATGCGAACGAATCCCTAGGTTTTCAATTTTTTTTCGCGTGCTTTCGTACGATCGACAAGCTGTGAACCGAATTTCCTTTGAAGAACCGAGTTGAGTACCTGAATTACCAGTGTTTGGATCGGGCTTGAGTTGTTGCAATATTTATAGAGGAATCAGGTTAGACTTGCGTACAATGCACGCATGATGCGGAGATTTTTTATGTCAAGTCAACGGTGGAGAGCTTCCGACGTAAGCTCCACTTTTGTAGGTTTCACTAGTATATATAACACTCATACCATAACATATATACATGATACTTCTTTTCCATTTATGAATATGGTAATCGAAACTTTCTCAATTTTGACTTCATTTTTTAAAATGTACTGTCAAGTAAAATACGAGAAAATATTTTAAATTTTTTAAAATGAATTTTTAAATATAATTTTATGAAAAATTAATTTAATAAAATATTTAAAATATCAATGTTCAAAATTAATAAAATTTTATCTTAAAATATCAAATTAGACATAATTTATTGGACAGAAGGAGTATTAAAGAATATATTTAAATGAAATTCATGTGAAAGTATAAACAACCAAAATTTTTAATAATAAATAAAAAAAATTATCAAATATATTAACAATAAATTTTTTTAACTCTTTAAACAACATTAATAAAATAACACATATTAATTAAAAATTTTTGATATAACTCAATTTTTAAAAAATTACTTGTGAAATTAAAAAAAAAATACTAACAATATATAAAATAATTTCTCAAACAACCCTATGTGAATAAAATTTCACGTGTCAAGGGATCATACTGAATCTTCTCATTTCATGGCAACATAAAACAAAAAGTTAGTCTGGCTTTTCTAACAAATCTATACAAATCATTCTTAATGATATTTATGATTGTCCAAAATTGTTTCATGCTGCCAGCTATATCCAAAGTCAAAATAAAAGTTATTTATCGGGTTCATATATTTTTTATTTGAAAATATAAAATTCAAAATTTATTTTTAAAAAAAATCATATATTAATTATTTGAGTAAAATGTTTGGATATATATTCAATCATTTGAGCCAAAACATTTGGATTAAATCTAATAATTAAAAATATGATATAAATATGATTAAAAAAAAAGATAAGAATGCGATACAATTTAAAATTTTAGTGATAATTATATATAAGTTTAATAAAATTAAAAAAAAATTATATATTTTGTCAATATAAATTATGATACGTAATTTTATATAAAATAAAATTATAATATATAAATACTAATATTTACATGATATGAATATATGAATCATCAAATTTAATTTAAATGTATATTTATATTTGAGTTAAACATAAAAATGATTTTTATAATATATACCTTTTATAAGTTTGATATTTAAAGAAATAAAATTCTCATTTTGATATTCAAACTTTAATTTCTCAAGTATTTTGATACTCTAATTTAATATCTTAGTCAACTTACTTATATAACATTAATATAAAATAAAATCATCTATTTTTTTATCAACATTTAAATATAAAACTTAAAATTTTAAAATATATATTTTTAATTTAAAATTAAAAAATATTAAAAAAAGAGAAAAGAAAAGATTCAAGGAAAAAGAGAAAATGAAAAGCAAGAAGAACAAGAGAGAAGGGGAAGGGACGGATCCATTGGTCGACCCAAGGCTAGATTAATGTCAATCCACCAAGTTCAATGTGACCGGCCCTGATTTGGCTCTAGGTCGATTGACGACGCTACCTTTTCCCTCTCTCGCGTCTCTCTTCCTATTCCTCATTCTTCCTTTATTTGTCTTCGATCTTTTTCTTCTTTTTTAATTTTTATTGAAATATTGAAAAAAAAATTTTATAAAAATTATATTTTATATTTTATTTTTAAATTTTTACTAACATGATAATTATTAAATATTTATGACATGAGATATAATTTTATTGAATCATATCACTTTAATTACTTAATTGATAATAATAATTTGAAAAATTAAAATGTTCGATGAAATAAAAATTAAAATACAAAAATAAAAATTTTATTTTTTTATGTATCAAAATGATAAAAAATATATAATACATGAGACATTTTAGATATTAATCCTTCGTATTTTAATTTTTTGATAGTGTTATTATTTTATTTTATATTTTTTTAGTTTTTCTTTAAGACAAAAAAAAGTTAAATTATAATTTTATATGTGGTGTCATATGGCACCCAATGAGTTTGTTCTTTTAATAAATAATTACCTCATTTGGGTACCACGTAGCACCAATGAATTCTTTTTTTTTTAATTTTTTAATATCTTAATTTAATAAAATATTATATTTATATGTAATTTATATTAAAAATTAATATTTTTATAAATGTTGCATTGTTAAATTTATTTTGTGTCAAATAAATTAGATACTAATTATACATATATACATATATGTGGGGTTAGGTTAAATGCAAAAAATAATAATTTTATGCTTGAATGGGATCATGATGAGTATAAACCCACTTTTAAACCCACTTTTACCTTAAATGTTGTTGTTATTTTTAAGGGAAGGTATCTCGTGACATCCCTATTTGACTTTATTTCATTTTACTTGGAGGTTTTCTTTTTTCTAGTTTTAACTCTTTAAGTTTTTCTTAATTATTTAATTTATTGTTTTTTAACTATTTTTTATAAAGATAAATTTAAAATGATGATATAGATTTGACTTGTTATATAAATTATGAGAATAAAATATTTATTATCCCTAAATTAATTAATAAATTTTTACTAATAATTATTTTTATTAAAAAATTATATACAAAATTATAGTTACTAATTTAATTTATTATAAATTTTATATATTATAATTAATAAATTAATATAATTTTATTAATAAATAAATATCAACCATAAAAATAAAAATAAAAATAAATAAAAGCCTTAAAACCACCGCAACCCGCGTGCATATTGTTAGTGGACACATAAAAACTACAAATCTAAAAAGCGCTAGGGTTTTCACTTTCTCTTCCTCTCTCTCTGCTTGGCTGCCATAATTAGGGTCGGCAAATCAACCCGAAAATCGTCGGGTTTCGACCCGACCCAATTATTTAGGGGCAGATTTTTTTAAAAAAACGGGTTTCGGGTTGGATCGATTTTATTTTTTTGAATGTCGGATTTAGGTCAGGGTCAGGTTTATATGAAACCCGACCCGATCTGAAATATTTACCAAAATACCCTTACTATATATATAAGTAATTTTCTTTTAGGGTTTTTAAACTTTGTTTCTTTCGACAGACCCTGTTTTGTTCTTTCATATCCTTTCTCCACATTAGGTAGTGAAAATCTAACTAAAAATCTTATCCACATAGTTGAATCTAAGATTTCCTTAAATGCTTGCTAATAGCTTAGAGACAAGACAAAATGATTGAACATACTGAGGCCTTAATGGCTTGGTTATTGAATTGAATACTCAAAACTCATAAGTGTTTCTGTTTTGAGTGGAATAATATATAGATAGCAAAATTTAAGTACCACAAGTCAACCAACTATCAATATGAAAAGACTGGTAGTTTTTTAAAAAAATTGAGGGTTAAGTAAGATACAATATTATTTGAGTCGATATAGAATTTCAATTGGAAAGAAAAATATCAGACTTGAGGTAGGTGAGCCATGATGGACAACTACTAAAGATATTCAAAGCAGAATGCGAATATTGGATTACCTGCAGATACGATGTTAGTGTTATATAGCTTACTTTGAATTTTGAAACAATCATGAAGTAAAACCAAAAACAAAATGGGTAAAATGTGAATGTAAAACGCAGAATGCAAAACCATGCTGTTATAGTTCAGGACAGATTATGCACAAAATGTGTATATTGTCTTGCTATAAAAGAACAAAATCAGCAACACAAACAAGTGCAGCTACCGCAAAGAAAAAAGAAAACTTGCAATATTACAGTACATAAATAAAACTTGCAATATTACAGTACGTAAATAAAACTTGCAAAAGCATTAACAATTCAAACACGCTGCAAACCTTAATTACATCAAAACACATGTAGGATGAAAACTATCTTAGAGTTATAAAGATTTCCACTTTTAGGCATTGACAGCCTGTCAGAAGAAGTAACAAAGATTTCACTGACAAGGCACAAGTAGCAATTCCTTTGATCAGTCAATGTTTAGATTAAATTTAGTTATTTTTAGATGGTCTGCTACCATTAACTATCTTCATCTCTGTTATTCAACTCGTAAGAACAACACGTGGATGGCAAAAGTGTGCATTATATCATCCAGTAAATTATTAAACTAGGCTAATAATACAAATAAATTAAATTTCTGTCAATAAAAAATGCTAATAAAATATGTCTACTTACTAAAAGCTAAATGAAAGTTCAACACCCATAACAGGTGTCTCTACATATAACGTTACCCTTATGAAGGTATTGATACTTAGACATGCTCTGTAATTAAAATTGGACCTGTGAATTATCTATTATTAAGTAAAATTATTGGCATGTTTTTAGATTTGGTTGACCATTCGTGCATTACTTTGTTGTGAGCCTTTAGGATTTTTAACCATTTCTTTTTAGCTTTGGCTAAATTTTTTATTGGCTTGACTTATGGTATTTACTTCTTTCTATAGTATTGTTCAAATTTTCAAGTTAATCCTTGTCATTTTCTTGTTACTACACTTCTAACTTGGATTGAGAAAATCCTGCTTGTCAAACTTTGCTACTCACTGATCTTATTCTGATGTGTAGATTCCATGACATACATTATAATCTCTCTCTCTCTTTCTCTCTACGTGCCTAAATTTTCTTTCAAATTTTTTAAATGATGTCCTTGTGAATCTATGTCTAGACCCCAATATAATATGCTTGAATTGAATGTTGCCAGTGTCATTGTTTTAGGTTTATAGTATTATTTTTTAGGCTTCTAGTTGTGACAATAGGAGAATGTGTAATATTATTTTACTTGTGGTCTCAACCTAGAAGAGTCTGCATAAAATCATTATTTTCAAGTTTGTGATTAAATGCTTATGTTGCTTGGAGTACAATATTAAAGTCTTGAGAAATGGATGCTGAGAAACATGAAAAAGAATAGTTATCCTTAATCCTTATGCTTTTAGTAACAGTTAATTTATTTAGTTGCTTTATTTGTTAATATCAAAATTAATAACTCTAATTTTTCTTTTTTATGAATGAAGGTGAAATGTCTAATTTGGGAGATAATTCGTGTTCTCCAACACCTCTTACTTCTACCTCACATCAGTCACCAATTTAGCAAACTCCCATTCTAACATCTGACGAAAATACAACTCTATCATTAAGTGTGACTAACGAGGGTGCTGAAGTTGATAATAGTGGGTATAACTCAAGTAAGTTAAAATTAGAAGTATAGAAACATTTTAGAAAAGAGAAGATCAATAATGAATGGAAGGCAATATGTAATTATTGTAAGAAAAAACTTGGTGGTGCTTATAAGAATGTGACAAGTCATTTACGTGATCATTCAGAGAGGTGCAGCAAATGATTTCAAATGGATATTCATCAACAAGTGTTGCTAGCAAATCAAAGAAAGATAGATGGAAAAGTAACATTAAAAAACTTTTCATTTGATCAAAATGTCACAAGGAGGGAGCTTGCCAAGATGATAATCATGCATGAATACCTCTTATCAATGGTTGATCATGTGCAATTCAGAAAGTATTCTTATAGTCTCCAACCTTTGTTTGTTATGCCTTCTCAAAATACTATAAAGAGTGATATTTTAAAGATTTTCAAAGAGGAAAAAGCAAAGACAATATCTAAGTTAGAAGCTAATGAAGGGAGAATTGCTATCACAACTGATATGTGGACTGCTGATCACCAAAAAAGAGGATACATGACTATCATTGCTCATTACATCGATAATCAATGGGGAACTACAAAACGCAATCATCAGGTATATTTTTATTAAATGTCGTATTTTGATTTGTTCATTTTTTATTAAGTAAGTTATTATTATTGAATTAATTATTAAATTAGTGTAATAATTGATTGTTTAATTAGGTCTTGAATAATGTGCCAACGTCCACACTAACGAAGGCAACTCCAGCATACGACAAGAGGTCATTACTTCAAGTTTTGATGAAATGTTTCTTAGATTGGAATATTGATAGAAAACTTTCATCGATTACAGTGGATAATTATAGTGTGAATGATGGTGTTATTGAGTTTTTAATTGATAGAATTGGTTGTGATGCATTTTTGCTTAATATGACTTTTTTTCATGTGCGTTGTTGTGCACACATCTTGCATTTGATTGTGAAAGATGGATTGAGTGTGATTGGAAATGGAATTGATAAAATTCGTGATAGTGTCCTCTTTTGGAGTGTTACACCAAAGAGATGGGAAAATTTTGAAAAGGCAGTGCGTCAATTGCGCATTCCAACTTAAAAAAAGTTGTGTGTTGATGTCAAAACACGATGGAACTCCACTTACTTAATGCTTCGAACAACTTTGTTTTATAAAGATGTTTTTCCTCGTTGTGTGCAATTACATGGTGATCTTTTATACAAATATTTGCCAACTGAAATTGACTAGATAATTGCAACTGAGATTTGTGAGAAGTTAAAATTGTTTTATGATATCACTGAAGGTTTTTTTGGCACAAAATATGCTACTGCAAATCTTTATTTTCCTAATATTTGTAAAATCATTTGGCATTTAATGAATGGATTATGCATACTAATAGAATTATTTCATGTATGGCTGTGAACATGTTAGGCAAATTTGAAAAATATTAGAATGATGTGCATGGTATAATGGGTGTTGCCATAATTTTAGATCCAAAATACAAAATAGAGTATTACTTTGAAAAGATTTATGGAGAAAATGCTGAATTTGAAATTGAAAGGATTGTACAAATATGTCGAGATTTGCTTAAAGAGTATGAGGAGAAATTGGCTTTGTAAAAGGAAAAATGACCTTCTAGTTCAAGCTTTTCATTCATAGATGGTGTTGATGCTACTGAATTGAGAAATTTGTGAGACTATGATGATTTTGTTTCAAGAAAAAAAAAAGAAAAAATCAAAAGTAAAAATCAAAGTTAGATCGCTATTTGGATGAAGAAGTCATACCAAAAAAAGGAGATTTTGATATATTGAATTGGTGAAAATTAACTGGACCTCAATTTTCGACCTTACAACTTATTGTTAGAGATATTTATGTCATACCGATTTCTACTGTTGCTTCAGAGTCTACTTTTAGTATTGGGATGGAGATTGGTGAGTGCGCAATGTAATAGACTTCATCCATCAATTATAAAAGCTTTAACATGTTGTCAAAATTGGTTATGGGTTGAAGAAGAAGGTATAATAATGCATATTATGCAATTTTATTTTTTATTTTAGCATATTGTTAGTTATTATATTTTGTTGTTATATATTATTTGTTAATATTTTATTATTTTATTTGTAGGGTCAATTTCATTAGAAGAAAAGTATTTTTATGAAAATGTTGATGAGAGTGAGATTGAGGAAAAGATAACTAGTTTGGTAAATAATATTATCTTTTTTAGTTAATTCATTTTTTATATTATTATTTTTAAATATATTATTTTATGAGATTTATTTATTTATCTTATTATTTTATTTTATAGGACTAGTGTAACTAGAGGAGAATGATAATATGGAGCTTAGTGATGATGGAATGATTTATTGTGGTCTTGAAAGATTTTTATCATGTTGGATGAAAGGATGTTCAAATAATTTAGCTTTTTATTGTGGTGATTTAAGCTTTGATGTTCATCTTGTATCGTGTATTATGTTTAAATTTAGTTTTTAACTTATGCTTGTTTGATATTTAAATTTTAGTTTACTAAGTTTTATATATTTCATAATTCCATCATCTATGGTAAGAATTTGTGAGTTTAAATTTACTATATTTTATGTATTTTATAATTCTATTATTTATGATGAGAATTTATGAGATTTTTACTAGATAAAAAAATAATATGTATTAAGTTTGAATTTGTGAGTGATTATGTTAAATTTGTTAATGCTTGTAATATATTTAGATTATAATTTATTACGTTTTTGATAAATTTAAATAGATAATAGATTGAATTCAAATTGGATCGGATCGAATTAAATTCGGATAAATAATATTCTAATGGATCGGGATCGAATTTTTCAATAATAACCTTTGAACGAAGGCGGATCAAGTATCAGATAAAAATATTGAAATATCGGATCGGAGGCGGGAAAAGCAAAAAACCGCCCCGCCCTATGCCAACTCTAGCCATAACGAAAGGTAAGCCAGGGTTTTGCAGAGAGCTTCAAAATGACAATGACGACTGTCATTCTAACCTCCGAAGAAGATCCGGCGCTCGCAGTCGTCCAGTTCACTGCCGATCTCGCTTGGGGCGATGGTGAACCTCAATTTATTTTCCTATAATCTAATCTTTAAATCCGAATTTTGAAAATTTCATTATCTTTTTTGTTTAATTATGGTTAAAAGGTTGTGGAGCCGCAATTGGGAGCCGCAATTGACGAGGCTCTTTATGGAAGTGCAAGAGTCTATGGTGATGGGAAGATGGTTGGATTTGGCTTCTTAAAATGCTTACTTCTGCTGATTTAGTCTTTTCCAAGGTCTCTGATAAAGGTACTATTTTTTCATTTATTTGAATAATTTTTAGGAGATTTATAAATTGAGATTAATATAATTTTCTTTGTTCATTGTGCGCTTCGATGGAGTTTGATAGATTCTTAATTCAAGTTAGTATTAATTGATTGGCATATGATTTAGGTACTGCTTTGTTTTCGCATTGGCTTCAATTGTGTTTGGATATAAAAAAAAACCAATGTTTTGAAGAATTTATAAATTAAAGATTGGACTTTTTGGAGAATGAATGGTTGGTTTTAGTTTAGAATGGAAAAATTATGTTGTAATTGGTTTGGTGGTTTTAGTCATTCCTTTAATCATTTTGAATTTTGATTTTTTGCAACGTTTTTTTAGCTAAAGCAACACCTGAAATGGATCCTTCTTACATCGTGATGTTTAGAGGCAATATATTATGTACTTTTGAAAACTCGAGTCTCTAAGAGCTAGTATTTCTGCTATTTCTTTTCCTGACAAAATAGTTGAGATCTCATTGTTCAAGCCAGCATTTTTCCTTGTGAATAAATTTTGTGTAATTAGTGTATATAGGAAAGATTGAATTGTTGTTTTGACTTAATGTAGATTTTTTTTCTTTTCCCATTTGAGTTGCAATGGCAAAATTGAAATGGATTGAGCTGATACAAATGCGATTAACATTCAGTTTATGAGGAATACCCTGGACTTAGTTAATAAGATTTCTACAATACTGCCATTGTAAATTTATAAATTTGCATTGAAGTGCTAGTTTTACAAATAATTAATTTCTTTTATTATATTTCTTCAGATCTTGAGTGTATCTTTACCGTTATCTGCAATCTTGTCTCAAAGCTTGAAAATCCACATGATGAACTTGAGGTGGCAAAACTCATATCAGCAAAAATCACTCAACAACCAAATGACAAGCCTGCAATGCGTCTAAAGATGTAACGTGCAATGATTATCCAGAATTATAGCTTATAGTATTTTCAACGCTCTCTCTCATGTTTCTAATTTTCTCTTTCCAGCATGTTTAATCTCTATAATTTGTTGGAGGGCCCGGATAATAGGTTCTTTGTATACATGCAAGCCTTAAATTTGGCTTTGAATGGAAAAGTTACTGATCATATTATATCATTTTTCAAAATGATTGATAGTGTCTTGAAAGAGTGGAATATATCAAGGATCAAAGGGACCTCTTCCTTACCATTGCACACGTACTGAAAGAAAACAAGAGGCATATAGGAACCTCAAAGAATAAATTATGCCTTTACCTTTATGTGATTATACTTGTTCTGTTATATTGGTTGTACTCTTACATTCTGCAAATCCAGCTCAGGAAAGGATTCTTTCAATTCTTGACCAAGTATTTGGCAACTTTCTCTGGTGAGGACTCATACATAACAAGTGAAGCTAAAGAGGAAGCTGTGCGCACTGTCATAGAAGTTGTGAAGGCACCTTACATGTTTCAGGTATCTTAATATCTTACTGATGTTGCAGATCCTAGCTGGTCTGTATATATACGTTTCTTCATTTTAAGCTTATTTTATTCTAGCCATTTCCATGCTCCTCCAACAACAACCCCCTTATATTTTCTGGCTTTTTAAACTTTTTTTTATGTCATCCCTCTAGAACTTTTTAAAGATTTGGCTTGTTTGTTTCCCCCATTCTAGCATTGTTTTGCATGAGCATTTATTTTTCTGCATTTTTCTTGTTTAAGCTCAGGGTTAGTTGCTCATAGATTAATTTTTGTTGTCTTTTTGCAGAGTGATCTATTAGATATGCCTGATGTAGTGCAATTGGAGAAGGATGCTAAACATGCATTGGTCTATCAGCTTCTGAAGATATTTCTGACTCAGCAGTTGATTGCCTTTCTGGAATTTCAGGCTGCAAATTCTACCTTAATGAAAAGTTATGGTAATGTTTTGTCTTTCTTTTTAACTATTATTATGGGCTACCGCATGAGCTAAAGTCCCTCCAAATTTCAATATATTTCAATATTATTGCTCTCCATGGTTCAGGTCTTCTTCATGAAGATTGTATAACTAAGATGAGGTTGTTGTCATTGGTTGGTCTTGGCTCTAATGAATCTGGAAAAATTCCATATGCCATCATCAAGGATACTCTTAGAGTAAACTTGCTTAGCTACCTGTTCACCATGTTTGTTGCATAATTGATACAATTTCTTAGCCTACTGCAAGTTGATAGGTTGTACAAGTAATATAGTAGGAAGTATGAAACTGTCATCTCCATCGGGATTGGGTGCTATACTTAGGTACTGTTTCTACACCTATGGTATGTCTAGTCAACAGAAATTTTGTTTTCTAATTATCCTATATGAATTAAACATTACCAAATAGTAAAAATCTATGTACTACAAATTATGAAAAAGTTTAACTAACTAAAGACTAAAGCTTACTAAAAATAGAACATGCTAAAAATAGAAAGTTTCTAAAAAGAGAAAGTCTAACAACTAAGCAAAAAATTTGCTAAGGCATGAAATACAGTTTAAGCATAATTAAATTGGGAACTAAACATTAAGGCATAAAAATTTAAATGCAGGAAATTAAAGTAAAAACAGAAAATTAAACTTGCAATTAAATTAACCTAAATTCCCAAATGACCTATGCACCTATTTGCTACTCTTAACATGTATGAAATATAAAAGAACATAAAAACTGATTTTAATAATTAAAATAGACCTAAAATGTAACATCTAACCTATAGGAATCTACATGCAAAACAGAATCTAAATGGAAGAGAAATGGCATGCAAAAATTGAAACATGAAAATGCAAGTTAATGCTACCTATGACCTAAACTGCTTGGAAAACATGTACTAACCAAAAAGGAATTGTAAAAACTGGGTTCATGGTTTTAAAGTAGACTTGAAAATAAGCTTAAAATTTGTAGGTAAACATTTTCTAAAGGTGACCAGAATTGAAGCAAAACAGTTTTGAAAATTTGGTAATGGAAGCTAACGTAAACTAATGACCTAATAAGCTAAATGCAATCAAAAGTGAAAATACCTACTTGCTACATGAAAACCAATAGTACAAAATCGTAATAGGCTGCAAAATGAAGGAAAAATGCATAGGCAACATTAAGCAAAAAGAGAACAGAATGTGGATAAAATCCGGGTTGAAAGCAAAATTAAAAGTTAACCTAACCTAAGAACTTATCAACTTAAATGCTACCAAAGCTGGAAATTTTTACATAAAACTTGAAAACCAACAGCACAAGCTTAAAATAGACTTAAAAATGGCAGAAAACATGTAACAAAAACTGAACAGATCATGAAGAAAAACTGGGCGGTAGATGCCTGAAGAGAATGTAATGTAAATGTAAGAAATAAGCATCTATGACTAAGTCATTAAATCGAGCATGTAAAGAACTTGTAAATATAAAATAAGAGCAATAAAACAAGAAACAGTAAATAAACAACTTGCAATTGTAAATAAAAGAGCATAATAAAAACTGGCAGAAAAACTAAATAGCATCAAATGTAAAGAGCCAGAATTTAAAGCACATAATGATCAAGTTCATGGAGCCCTATGATGAGACCATCACATTAGCATCCAAGGCCATCCTTTCTAAGCTTTAAACAGCTCTAGAACAAGCAATAGTTGCTGGAAAATTAAAAGGAGCCGGAAGCTGAAAGCATAAAATAAAAACTGGCAGTAGTGAAAAGAATCTGAACTTGTATTTAACGAAGGTAATAAAAAATCAAAGTTTGAAGGTTGCAAGGAAATGTAAATAAAACAAACTACAAGAGAACTTAAAGAACAATAAAAGAACTGAGAAAATAACTAGAACAGCAAGTAAAATAGAGCTTCAATGGAGGTCTGATCGGCCAGCAAGCATGCTGCCATCAGAGCTTGGATGCTTGAAAGAAAACTTCATAGGAAAACAAAAAAAAAAACCTTCTAAAGTCAGCTGTTGGGGTCCTATTTATAAGCAATTTTGGGTTCTCCTCTAGCTGATCAATGATCCAAAATGCACAATCCCAGCCCTTCAAACAGCCAGCTCAGAGGGAAATTCTGGACTGTTGTAGAAGCTCCCAGGCCGCACCAAAATTCTGACTTGGCATTTCCAGCTCAGCTCCTTCCCATGTGATGCTTGCTTGGCTAGTCCAATGAGGTGTCTTGAGAGCTCCACAAGTGAGGTGAGTTGTCATCCTTCTAAGGCCTTCAAAGGTTGCATCTTGAGCTGTCCAAGTGGACCAAACAGCAGCTGGCAGCAAATCATGACAAGGCTGGCAGCATTCTTGGTTCAGCTGAGGTAGGTGTCATCTTCTCTCATTCATGCAGCCCATGTGAAGATTTTAGGTGGGCCAATACCTTCTTCTTGAAGTGCCATATCATCCTCTAGTTCAGCTAGTTCTCCTTCCTTTAGAATTTAAGCAAAAACCGTGACACATAGATCAAGGAAAGCCGCAGAATTTTTTTGTGTCTTTTTGTGCAACAAGCAATTGAATTTTTCCTTTGCTCTTCTTGGACATTGACTTGGCTCGTAATGGCTCTCTTAATGGCGCATCAGCTGGCTTGTTCTTTCTTGAGCTTCAAAGGCAGCACCTTTGGTTGTCCAAATGAGCCAATCATTAGCCAGCAGCAAATCAGGACAGCTTGGGGTATATTTGGCCTTACTAGGGAAGTTTGCTTCTCCAAGCTTGTTGGTAGCCATGTGACTTCTCCAAGGTGTACCAAAATATTTCCCAAGAGAATGCCAAGTTATCTGCTAGCTCAACTCCACCTTAATCTTCTGAAATCCTCTCCAAACCATAACCTCAAGGGATCATGGCAGCTTGCAAATTCCAGCTAGCTCGCGTGAATAGCCTTCTCCATTCTTGGTGATCCTTATGCTATCATTTTGGCCAATAAGAGAGCATTTTAATTCCACATCATCCTGAATTTTCTAGTCCAAAATTCCTTCTAGAAGCCAACAATTATAGCAGAACAAAATTTTCAATTTAAGTCTCCTAGGTTCGGCTATCATCTAATGCACATGCTTCTATTATCTAGTCCACTAGTTGTTATTCCATCACCTCTCATCCTTTTGACTTGATCAAGGTCAAAATATGACTCCAATCAGCTCATGGTCAGCTCATATCCTATTCCAAGTCAACTTCCTAAAAGTCCATATTGTCTAGGGTGCTCTATTCATGATCTTGGTCATAAGCTAAGGTAAGCATTCTTGCACTAGCTTGATCCATACGATTTGGTTATGGGGTTCTTAGAATTATGGCATCCTTGCTCCTCCATTTTTGACCTTGATTTGCATTTTTAACTTAGTAACCTACACAAAAGACAAAGTAATCAAGCTTAGGGGAATTTGCAAGAATTTGCAAAAGATTAAGCTAAAATTAAGTCTAGAATGGTGTATGAAATAAAGCCTAGGATAATTCTATAAATATAGAATTATCACACCTCCAAACTTAATCTTTTGCTTGTCCTTAAGAAAAATCAAAATTAAGCTATTAGTTAATTCTACTTCTCATGATGAATTGATAATGCATGCATTAAGAATTGCATAATGACTATAGCTTAAGGTCAACATAAATATGTGCTAATCACAAGAATCATCGTAGATCATGCATCAATTTAATTGAAGTAGTATTGTGTGTGCATCATTCTTCACATATCGACACATATCATCTAGTTGTGAATATATAATCAAGGAATTAATAAAGCATTAGCAAAGAGCACCTATATTTTATATGTTTATCTTTCACACCTCTACTCTAATGTATAACATCACCAAATTAAGGATCCTTAGGTCTTTATAAGCTTGTAATGTTAAGCTAGGGTAAAGGTAGGATAAAAAGATATTTTAGGTTTAAATACCTTAATCATGCATTACTAATTTAGGATTGTTAGCCTTGAATTGATCAAGTATTTTGAAATGACAAAATAAAAATTTGCTAAACTTGAATTAAATTGGTTTGAACTCAAATTGAATATTTTTCTAGCTTTTTATTGAGTGAAAAATGGGTTTAAAACATAAACAACCTTTCTTCTCTTGTTTTAAAACGTTTTTGTACTTAAAAGAAAGGAAGGGATCGATCCCCTTCTTTAAGGGATTGATCATTTTTTCGGCCAGTAAGCTTTCTTGTGTGATTTTCAGGAAAACCAATTGATCTCCTCTCCGTATGGACTAATTGGTACAAGGGTTTTATTGGACCTGATCGATCCTCTCTTTGTAGGGATTGATCCATTTTTTATTCAATAGCTAAATTGATTTTGAAAACATCAAAACTGATCGATTGGTTGGGCGACAAGATCAATCGTGTAAGCTAATGGATCGATTAGGTCCTTTACTTAATCAATCGAGTTATGCTTTCACGCCATGTTCTTAGCTTTCCAATTCTTGAACCGATTGATTCCTTCTTGGTATTGGATTGATCCTTTTTGCCTAGACAATCCCAAATGGCTATTTTGTTTGAAATTTTGCATATTTTCAAAGGGGACAATGGCTACAAACGGCTGGTTCTTCATTTCTTCTTATAAATACAAGCCATACACATAAGAAAAGACAAGTGAGAAGAGTCTTCAAAGATCAAAAGCCATTCATTGTTCGTTTTCTTTAATCCAAGAGTATTTTGTTGAGTGAAAGAGTTGAAATTCATTCTTGTATTCATTTCATCTTGTTTTCACTCAAAGCATTCATTTGTACTTAAAATTGCAAATACCCAACCTTCGAAAGGTTTTTGAGTTTGTAAAAATATTCTTATTTTGTATTGTGAGTTTGTAAGCTTAAGGGAGAGGTTAACCCTTAGGTGATTTGGTTGTCTTGTAAATTTAATATTTCATTAATTTCGGGTCGGGTCGAGTCGGGTCGATTGTGGGTTTAAATATATGTAGGTTAGATTTAGGTATAAAAATAATATTTTACTATTGGGTTGGGACGGGTTTAGGTATTAAGTTTATAAAGTTGGGTTTGGTTTGGGGTTAGCAAAAACCTATCCTGACTCGACTTGTTGCCATCTTTAGTGTAGAGACTCGCACCCAACCTGCGAGGTATTGTCCGCTTTGACCCGAAAGTCTCACGATTTTGTCCTACAAAAGGTGCCTCACAAGTTTGGGATTAAATCTCTACATATATATCATTCCTTATCCATACATCCTTTTGATGTGAGATTGGGAGCGTTACAATCTCTCCACCTTTAATGCTCGATGTCTCTGTCAAGCCGAGTCCATTCACAGGATCAAGATCACACCAGACCATCGTGTAACACTTAGTAACTCCCATGGCTCCACCGTGAAGCACTTAGTGACTCCCACGACTGCGGACTGGTGACCGTTCTGATACCATTTGTAGAGACCCGCACCCAACCTGCGAGGTATTATCCACTTTGACCCGAAAGTCTAACGGTTTTGTCTTACAAAAGGCGTCTCACAAGTTTGAGATTAAATCTCTACATATATATCATTCCTTATCCACACATCCTTTTGAAGAGATATAACTGTTTTAATGAAAAGAGGTCAGGCTGCCAATATTAATTAGTTAAGTTAACCCTTTGTGTAACTTAGTTGATTTTTGTATAAATGGTCTCAAAAAGAGTTGATTAAATTCTGATATGTTGATATGATCTTGGATAGGCCATTAATTATTTTGGGGAAAAAACTAAGTGATGGAATCGAATGGAGGTAAGTAGAATCTCACATACTTTGCTTGTTTTCGAATCTCTATATATATATGTTTCTAAATGAAAGAATATTTTATTTCATTATTTTCAGTGTATGAAAATAGGAACAAGCATATGATTATTTTGTGTTTCTCTATATAAATGATGGATCATGCTTATGAATGAAATGAGAAAATGATTTATGTTTAAAGAATGATTTTATGATAGCTACGTTTTTATATCCCTGGAAAGTGGGATCATCGACACCAGAACTAGTTTTACGACCCTAGCTAACGGGTAATAGTAGTTAGCATAAGCCTTGGCTAACGGGTTATAATAGTTAGCAATGATCATGAGGACTAGTTCTACGACCCTAGCTAACGGGTAATAGTAGTTAGCAAAGACATGATCATACGACCCTGGCTAACGGGTAATAGTAGTTAGCGTAAGCCTTAGCTAACGGGTTATAATAGTTAGCAATGATCATGAGAATGAAATTGTCGATACGACTAATGTCACGGGTTATAGTAGTGACCGTAGCTAACGATAAATGAATGATAATGATGATTTATGATGATTTTAATGATTGATCCATTATTTGGTTTGATTATGATATTTGAATGATAGCGTATTTTACAATGATTTATGAAGTGACATATTTTGATATTGATTTATGAATTTATGAAATATTTGACAAAACGATGATCTTAAAATGTTTTGATATTATGATTTGATGAATGTTTTGAATGATCTATATGATGTGTAAGAAAACGATGCTTGATCTGGTAAGGTGTGTTTGCCTATACTTACTGAGCTGTGGTTTGCTCATTCTTTTTTTACTTTTTCTTTACAGATGACTAAGTGATAAGTTTGGTTAGTTTTGTGTGAAGCTAGAAGATGAAATGAAAAAGATTACTTAATCGTTGGAGAAAATATTGACCAATGAGATCTTAAGAGATAGTTTTATATTTTATATGGTTTGTATTTGTATATATAAAGATGTATTATTAGTTGGATTAAAGATATGAATTTTACTTGGTAGATTGTTTTATTGAAAAATTTTAGAATGATTAAGAAAGAAGGTTTCGTATTACTTTGGGGTTTTCTTCAAGGTAATACGATCGTGTTGCGTCTTGATCTCAGGGTGTGATAAAAGTGGTATCAGAGCCAGCTTTAAACCGTTCGATTCACGTCGAGCACCTCGAGGGAGGTAGGCAGGGTGGTCGACTTCCGTGACGAGGGCGTCACGAGGTTTGGTGCGGGAGAATATCACGGACCTAAGGGGGAGTCCTGAATCTCACATCGAACATAATAGGAGGGTCATTGGAGTATAAAAGGGTTCACACCATCTCCGCCTTGTGAGGCATCTTTTGTAAGACAAAACCGTGAGGCCAGGGGGCCAGAGCGAACAATACCTCACAAGGGTGTGAATCGTGGCAAAAGGTTGATCTGAGATGCCGAAAGGGTGAATGCCCGGGTCCCGGAGCCGCGCAGGTTCAGAGCTTAAGTCTCGACCCGTGACATTTAGTCACAAAGTGCTCTATCAAAGAACAGTGGCCTTATGGTGTGAGGAATAGTGAAGCATCTAGGGTCCTTGAGCTTTGGTGGAATCTTGCTTTGAATGATGGCACTACACTTTTCACTAAGTGCCACGCTCTCATGATCGACCAACTTACATTTTTTTAATAGAATTTCTTTCATGAATTGAGTGTAGATAGGCATCTATTCCAAGGCATCGCAAAGGGAATTTTAATATGCAACTTTTTGAATATTTCTAAAAATTTTAAGAACTGTTGAACAAAAGTTCGTTGTTGCTAGAATTTTTGGGGGAGGGATAGGTGGCCTATAGGGAACAGTACCAGATGATTGTATTGCTTGATCCTCCACCTTTTTCTTATTTTTAATTTCCTCTTCCTTGGATTCTTCCGCCACGATAGGCTCTATGGGTGCAGTTATATGGGTGGTCCTATTAGTGCCACTAGGTACTCTTTACTGCTCTTAAGGTACATCACCTTGCAATGTTTATTCTTTCCCTTCTTGGATTGACTTTGGTGTTGCTAGGAAGGGTACTTTGCAAATGGTTGTTGAGGGCACTAGCTAGCTACCCCATTTGTACCTTCGAATTTTTGATGGCGGTTGCTTGATTCTGAAGGATAACATATTACCCTTGAAGGATGTTGGCTTGATTAACTAGCATATTGTTTTTGATTTGGAGGACGGATGAGAAAATATCGTTGAAGATTTTTTTTTTTTTTTGGAGGAGGTGGTGGTGGTGGCTAATGTTGAGGCAAGGCATGTTGGTTGGGAGGATGTTAAGGTCTAGAAGGAACTGATGGCTATCTCTAATTGTTCTATCAAGAAAATTTTGGGTGATTTTTCCAACCGGCATTGTATGTATTGGAGTAGGGATTGTTTTGTGGCCTAGTAGGTTGAGTTATGGAATGAACAGACTCTAACCTAATGGGACACCTTTATGAGGAATGGCTATTTCGACAGACATTGCAACTAAAGAATGGGTCTTGAATGGACTAAACGGGGTAGGGGGTTTGAATGGGTGTAGGACTAGAGCTAGATCCTAATGCTTTTATTTTTTAGCTAGACTAGCTATCTGAGCAGTAATCGTGTTAAAGGCATCTATCTAATAAACTCCCGTGGTTTTTTTAGGGTTTTGCCTTTTGGACGACCATTTTTGTGGTTGGTTGTCATACTATAAGATCATAAGCATCTTTAATCGACTTTCCAATGAGCATTCCATCGGCAGTAGCATTAATGATCGTCCTAATGTTGCCTAAGAGTCCATTGTAAAAGATTTAGATTTTGAGCCATTAGGGTAAGCTATGGTCAAGGATCTCCTAAGCATATCCTTATATCGGTCCACGCCTCATAAAAGGTTGCTGACTCAAACTAATAAAGGTGTTGATATCATTTTGAAGCTTAGCAGTTTTGGCCGGAAGGAAAAAGTTTTGAAGGAATTTTTAAACCAAATCACTATATGTTGCAATCGATCTTGGGGACATTGAAATAAGTCAATTTTTGGCCCTATCGCGTAGAAACAGCCTAAGTCTAATGGCATCATTAGTAACACCATTATGGCGAAAAGTACTGTAACTCACTAGGTAGTTCCCTAAATGTTGTTTTGGATCCTCACTAGCTAAACCCCAAATTGAGCAAAAGTTTTGATCATTTGAATGATCGTAGGCTTGGATTGCTGGCCCTATTACACTTTGCTGAAACCCATTCACATTAGGTGCACCGTAATCTTGCAAGGTTCAATTAACTATGGGGTGGTCATGGTATGAACAGCAATAAGATTTCCTAATCTTTCTTTCCTAATGTTTCTTAGGGTTTTCTCTATTTCAAGGTCTAAAGGAATT